CTGCCCGGTGCCCCATACCACTGTGCCCCGAAAGCCAGCTGGAACCCCCCAAAGCGGTCGGTTAATTAGCTTCCCCACTTCAGTCAAGTAAAGCCTCTGCCAGGAGGGGGACAGGGGGTGGGTGCAATCCAATCTGAATGGGAGCCAACAGCCGTTGCTCGTTCCCTGCTGGCTCTAGCTTGTCCTGGGAACCGGCAAGTGTGAGCAAGAGAGGGCGGAAGACGCCCGCTTTCTCTCCCCGCCGCCTAAGTCCGGCTGCACAACCAACCACAGAGCAAAACTTTCCCTGCCTCCGCCCCGAGAGTGGAGAGGTATAATTTCTGTGAAATAAATCAGCCTGGATGTTCCGTAGCTTGGAGCAGAATTGGCAGGGACTCCAACCATTATGCAAAGAAAGCCCAGGAGGTCAAAAGTTAGCGCCAGGAGCGGAGAGTGGCCTCTCATCTAACAGGAAGTGTAACATTGAAAATCATGCACGGCACTTGGAAACTGCTGCGCGGTGTTTCCATATTATGTGTGTGGCCGCGCAGGCGCGCACCTTAGAGGGAACACTGTTCATGGTAGAACAGAAGATCCACCAGATCCAGCAAAGGGAACTGTGATGACTCGGGGCTGGGCATGGAAGCAACACAGCCGGAACAGCCGTGACTGAAACATGTTTTGGGGTCTGTTTGCTAGCGACTCACATTTGGCAGCCCTGAGGTAGTGGGCCTTTTTTTGCTGTGATAAAGACCACTAAGGTAAGGTCTGAGCTTCTGAAGGTCCCTTAAGATCTGATTATGTCAGCAGACCTGGCAGCTCCAGAGAATAGGAGAACTAATATATTCCATTATTATTATCATCCTTTTGTCTGCTACTACTTTGTTCTTCCTCTGTTTTGTAGTCTTTTTAAGGTTTTATAATGGTGTTCAGGTTTCTATTGGCTGCTTAGCTTTGTTGCATGCTGCCCAGAATTACTTGTTTGGTGAGATGGGTGGCTGTATAAATCAGATGAATAAATAAATACAGTAAATGGGCATCAATATTGTTTTCTGAAAATAGCATGCTATTTTCAGAAACCCACCCAATAAACATTGCTTTCATATTTAGTGTTCATTGAAGAAACTGGCAAGCACAGGGATGGGAGGGAGACAGGAGGGGAGCTAATTAAGTTTTCTACTTATGAGAGGCATTGATGAAATCCAGCTTCACTAAACATCACTGACAGTTGGATGCTGGAAATCCTATATGTCATGCTGACGCTAAATTGTATGATTGCCTTTTAGAATGTAGCCAAAGTCACATTCAAAGGTAATTATTAATATGGGTTGATAAGCTTCTTTGGATTTAATAATTTTCTGGATTCACACAACATAGAACTGAAAATCAAAGAGCAGGAGTAAAACCTAGTGTAGTTCTATGTAAATAATCGCCTCCTTGAGAACTGATGGCACTCTTCCTTTTTATGGAACACAATTTCAAATATTCCTCTTCCAGCATAAAGAACTACACCTTTGATTTGTAAATATAATATTAGTAAAAACAGATTTTCACCTGCTTGATGATGGGCAAGGTAAGAAGGGGATGGGATGAGTGATATGCATATGAGGCCCAAGGCAGGAAATCTTTTATTGGAAGTCAGAGAGTATAAATCAAAGGACAGTGAGAAGCAGTTGAGATTAAAAACAAAGAAGGACTCCCAAGCAGCTAAGGAATAGCTACATACAAACACAAAGGCTGCTAAATAAATGAATGCAGTAGAAGATGAAGTCTGTCACATGTTATCAGCCAAATATCTGACAGTCCTATCTTCCTCTTCCAGCCACCCAACGTGTCCCTTGACAACTAAGATCAGGCAGCATATTGCATTCAGCACACTATTATCTTTATTTTATCTTTGTAGAGGAAACAATGTGTATGGAAGAAGAGGATTCAATTCTCCTGTCCCCATTTACCTCCCCTGACGAGCAATGAAATTTATCTCAGGAGAATAAAAGTAAAAGCCATCTGCCTTGCAAATAGTGGAGATCCTATATTGCACATTAATTCCTGTGAAGTTTGCTAATAAGCTAGGTAAAGATAAAGGTTCCCCTCGCACATATGTGCTAGTCTTTCCCATCACTAGGAGGCAGTGCTCATCTCCGTTTCAAAGCTGAAGAGCCAGCGTTGTCTGAAGACTTGTCTGTGGTCATGTGGCTAGCATGACTAAACACTGAAGGTACACAGAATGCTGTTACCTTCTCACCAAGATGCTTCCTATGTTTCTACTTGTATTTTTACATGCTTTTGAACTGCTAGGTTGGCCAAAGCTGGGAGAAGTAATAGGAGCTCACAACAACAACAACAACAACAACAACAACAACAACAACAACATAATTAGCCACAAACTATGAAGGCAAAAATTCAACATGTTACCACCAACAGCAAATGTCGCCTCTGTAATGAGAAAGACGAGACAGTCGACCACTTGATCATTGGGTGCAGCAAAATTTCACAGACTGACTACCTACAATGCAATGACTGTGTTGCTAAGACCATTCACTGAAAATTGTGCCAAATGTTTGGATTTGAGTACAGCAAAAACCACTGGGACCATCAGGTTGAATTTTTGCCTT